AATATATGAATCAGAATCTTGTGCATTTCATATATGGCCCCTTAAATATTAAAAATTATTGATATAATATGAATTTAAAAATCTAATATATAACTCACTTTTAAAAGTTTCTAATTTTTCGGTAGCTCATTTACTTTCTTGTGACGACAATGTATAACTACAGCCACTAGCAGTTAACGGTGAAATTAATACTAAGATATGACATTTTGGCAAGTAAAGAGTGTCGTCTATACTTGGAAATGTAAAGGAATTAGAAGGTCCCGATGGGTGTAAAAACTTTATATATTTCTTCCTGCTTTTGATTTTTCCCTAAAACAAAGGCTAACCACCATTTAGAATCATGAACACACGTTATGTATCCTGATATTTCTCAAAAAATTATACTTTCATCATTATATGATAAATATTCTATAGTGCTTTCTATTGAATTGGAATACATTTTACTTTTAAATCGATGTAGACTTGTTGGAATCACGGTGTGAATTTTCTGTGTTACAGGTTTAGGTCTAGTTTTTGAAAATCTTTCCCTGAGTAATAGTTCTTCGTAATTATAATTTTTTGGGTTATATATTCAAAATATATGCCATTAATATTTTCTTTAGCTAACTCGTACAATTCATATGATATGGTTATTTGCTTTGAGTAAGGCCTTTGTAAACTAGCTCTAGCGGCTCTTTTAACAGTGTTACCAATCCCATCACAAACACTTTTCCCGTGTGCTGTAGCAGAAAAATGTCATTCCTCCTGTACCCCGAAATCCATCTCATGATGGCAAATATTAATAAAATTTTCATCGGAAAAATAAAAAATTTTATTTGGATACAAATTTTATTAATTAAAAAATTTTCCAATGTTTTTTTGGAAATAATGTACTGCTATTGTATTGTGTTGCAAAGATTCGGATATCATTACATAATTTAGGCAACAAATATTGGCAAAATTATCTTTATAATATATAACAAAAGGGTGAACAGTGGATTGAGCTCTATTCCAATGATAACTTTATTAAAATTAAATATTGGCCTTCGTCTAAGTTAAATTTTAGATTGTTTTGATACAACGATTGTTGCTTTGAAATAAAAGAATGGGGTAATAAAGATTCCATTTTTTCAAAAAGGCATTGATAAATTCATCTACTTGCTTGGTTATTGTTTCAAGAGTGGTTCTATCTACGGATAGCCATTGTTTATATGTTATAAATTCGATGTCCTTAGAATGAAACAATATTCCTATTTGATCGCATAAATATGTTGACCCTGGACAATTATCAGATTTGCTCATATAACAGGGTGGTTGAGGCTGATTACAAATTATTTAGGGTAAAATATGTTTGTATGTTTTAAAGATCAACATATCATTGGTTAAATTGGGTAAATTTTATCCAATGATCATTAATTTAATATTTTGGTGGTAGCTGCAAACACATACATTATGTGTACCACTACCTCCAACAAGTATACAATTTTTTGGGCGAATGCTTGCAAATTTCGAAAAATCAATTTTAACATCAGGCCTCATTTCTTTAAAAAATATATACATTTCTTTCAAATTATCTAAAATTAATATCTTTTGTTATGGTATTCTTTTTTCCGTCTTTGGTCAAAATCGAAACGCAATCTTTCTTGTCTACTGCTTATTTCGTCCTTACAATAAAATTCTTGTACAATAGTTTTTCCAGGCTTGGGGTTTGGTGTTGATAGAAATCAAAATACCAAGAAATTAATTTAAAAATGAATTAATATAGTGAGTATGTGTTATTGAATCAATTTTAAAATTTTTATTTATTTAAACACTCATTTATTGTTATTCTTATTTATACAAGTAAGGCTATTATATTTTTTAAATTTATTTTATGATGATATTTTTATTTTGTATATAATTTCATAATAATAATAATAAATTAATTTTGTAATATTTTAAAAATATCAAATTATTTTAAAAAATAGAGTAGCGAAAATTTTGATATTATTTTTGGCGTCATATATGAATTGCACAAGATTTCATATATTCAAGAACTCGAAATTTGTTTGAACATATTTTATTAATATTCACTAAATATATGTTATGGGCAAATATAAAATTTGTTCTTTTATCGATGGATAATTTCTATAATTGAATGAAATCCCCATTTATTGTTATTTTTATTTACAAGATGAATAATCCTTTAAATTATATCAAATAGATCAAGAAAAACATTAAAAACTAATTTAAATATAATTTTATTCAAAGACGCCCACTTTCGGAAAATATTTATACACTTTTCTAAACATTTTTATCGATTTTGAGAATGAAGATGGCCGCGTCCCAGATCAATTTGTTTTTATAAATATAAAGGAAGAGTTTAGTAATGTCTATTAATTTTTTTTTTTTAAATTGAAGGTCGTATTATTTCCAAAAAATTGTTTTTAGTCCTTATATATTAAATAAAATGGCCGGAAATTGGAAAAACAAAAATTTTTTTTTTATCTAAAAGTAGAAACCTTGTACGTAATTTTGATATTAAATTTGTTATTTATAATTATGTAGTTTTTAAGATATGCTTAATTGAAAAAGGCAGATAATGGTAAAAATTAGGGATGTGAACCCTTCTACAAAAAAGGGCCCGGGTTCGGGTACAGGAATAAAATTTGAAAGAACTCGGGTCCGGGTTCAGGGAACATAAAAATAATGACTCAAAATAAGATTTTTTTCATTCATTTATTATTATACTTCAATATATACATATTCTTAATTTACAAATGAAAATTTTAAAATAAATAATTTATATTTTAAATGTTTTATTCTCGCACAATCATAATATCTTCTAAAATATCATCCTTGAGATTTCCACGTAAAGTAGACAATATATATTTCAAATATGAAAATTCACGTTCTACCCTTACCTAAAATAGATAGTTATCTTTATAAAATTATTGTACTTGTGTCGCCAATACAGCCATGAAGATTCTATATAAGATATTATTCTGGATATATTGAAGAATTTTCTTCCCAGAATTTTTAAATATTTATATCCTTATTTCTTAACTTCTGAGAATTTTACTATTAACGTTGCAATAGGCATTTTTTGATCCTCCTTTCTATCTGATGATAATTTGATTTTTATCTAAAAGTAAAATTTCAAGATCATCAATGTTGTTATCATTATTATTATTATTATCACTACAACCAGTAGGTATTATTGTCGTAGCCTCCAATATATTGTAAATAATGGAGTAATAATGGAGTTTCGCGTATGCCATAAATCCTTAAGATGGTCTTTTACTATTTGTTTTTGCTCAATATTCAATAAAACTTTATATCGAGGGTACAAATATATAGAAGAGTATACAACACTATTTTGCAAATATTGTTGCTCTCGAATTTTCATGTTTTCTATTATTTCATATGAAAATGGACTAGTAAATCTTTCTAAATCTAATCGGCATCTAATCCATATGCCATAAAATTCAGATAAACATAATTTTTCTGATCGTAATCTTAATGTTGTTTTTTAAAGTAAATAATACACTAGTAAGGTCTTTTATTTGGCACCAATCATCTTCCGGCAAAATAACTTTACATGCTCCTATAATTAAATCATTACAGAAATCTTTCAAACTTAATAATCGTTCTAGCATCATACAAATTGAGGACCAACGTGTTGTGCATTATCATTTAAATTAAAATATTATTACTTGTACTATAAAATAATTCACTTTCAAAATAATCAACGTATTTCTATAACATAGCATATTAATAAATTTACAGAATAAAATATTATTACACTGAAAATAATTTATGATATCAATCTCTAAATAAAATGTAAGTCCAGGAAGAAAATTGGAAAAACGTGAAGATAAAATAAATATTCCACAAAAAAAGTGAATAAAATTTAAAAAAATTTATATTATTTTTAAAAAAAATATTTTTATTTAAATTTTTTTTATGACACCTTGAACCCTTGGACCCTCCACTTAAAAAGGGTCCGGGTTCTGGTTCAGCCAAAATACGAGGGTTCAGAGTCCGGGTTCGGGTTCACATACCTGGTAATAATACGTCATTTTTGCCACTTTGTACCCTAATATCTCCAAGAATATAAATGTTACAAGGCTAAAATTTTAGCTATTTCTTAACTATACTAACCTTTCTTTGCTTACCAAATTTTAAAAAAATTGAAGGGGGTCGGCCAAAATCTGATCTTTTTTGCTCATTTGACATGGAATGACCCATCAGCAAATATAAGAGTATAAAAGAAAAAGGATATAGATGACCTATTTGATAAAAATAAAAATATAATAGAAGTGTTGAACATAAATAATTTTATCTATTATAAAAGGGTGTATAAAGGGGAAAGTAAAGAAAATCAGGAAGAAGTATTAAAAAATAAAATTTTAATTTAAAATTATGGTGTTTAGACTTAGGAAATCAATTAGAATTATCTTAATAAATAAATTTTAAATTTAACGCTATTTTAAATTAAGACATGTAAAACTATTCACTCTGGAAAACGAATCTTAATTTAGCCTACTATTGTTATTCCGTATTCGATTAACTTATTTTAAATTCAAATCTGGATTATGTAAAAACAAGACCAGGAAAAAAATATATTTAAATATATTGACGATATCATCATAACCTTTAACACTATTAAAATTTAGGATTTTATGAAATTCTATTTTCATATAGTCTTAAAATATATATTCAAGGGTTTTAAACACTATTTGGACTAAGGAATTGTATACTCTGCATGAATATATTAACCCAAACTTAGCAGTTACTGATTTTCCAAAGTGCTGAACCCATCGGGTCTAAAAACTGGGTTTCGGTACTTGTCTAAAATATGTCCTTGGTCCATATTCACAAAATTTCGAATAAAACAATTTCAAATTTATAAACCACTCCGAACCTGGTTTGAATCATTATAATATAATTTTTTATATTCCCTCTTTTAAAATTGAAATTAAAAATTATGCTATTTTATTCACTCGAATATTTTAATCTAAATACTACCAACTAACTAGATATTGATTTTCCAAATGTTAGTTCTGGGTCTTAACGAAAAACAACTATTTACTCGATTTGATGAGATATTTAGGAGTATGTGGGTCGCGAACGGTGATAAACTCAGCAATATATACGCCGGGACTAATGCTCTAGAATGTAAAGGAAAGGTAAAAAATGAATAAATTAATAAAATGAAACATCCTGATGAAGTTTTTAAGCCAATTGAAACCTCTCGGCGATTGATCACTCAACTTCAGTTGAATTTTGATCAGCATTGTATATAGGTGGTCATTCATTTTTATAGAACATCTTGATAAGTCTTTTTAATAGGATTTCGATGGGGAGACAGATCTAAAGGTTTCCTTGGTTTCGCCGTATCTTTATATCAAAATAATATTGAATATCTTCTATTTATAATTTACTTCACTATATCAGATGTTTCTTTTATAACATAAAATATTCATGATATATCTCAAATAATATCAATTTATATATTATTACTATTGTAATTGTAATGTATTATTTGTGAAAATTTACAGAGTTGTTAAAAGATATTTTTAAATGGATCTAGATACTGATACATCGTCTTAAATGGATCTAGATACAGGTGAATTACCTAAATATCTAGATACATTTTGATTTTAATAATTCATATACAAAATTGATAATTAAATGATTACAAATAATTGATTATAATAATTCATATACAAAATTGATAATTAAATGATTACAAATAATTGATTTAATAATAAAACATTCTTAAAATTTTTATCATCATTGCACTCCCGTTTATCTATAGACATTTTTAGCTCTTTCTACTGAGGCACTTGATGGCAGAGTGGTTGTTATGTTTAATGAAAAACAACTTTGGTATAATCATGGAATGTATTAAAATCTCGACAGTCATTTTTAAAAAAATTATTCAAAATTATCGTAACTTTAATATTATTCTTTGCAGAGATTGTCTAGGATATTGATCTAAAAATTATAATATATATAATTTATCTGGTTTGTTTTTTAATGAATTTAACTCGGACATACTATTAAATGAATTTAATCCAAATAGTATGATTTTTAGTATAAAAAAGCGTAGAATAAAATTATAACAAAATGTATCAGAAAATATATACAGGTACCTCTAAAATAGTATGTAGATACCGATCCCTTTAATAAAATTAATTTAGATACTGATACCATGTTTTTATAAATAGGATACTTTAACAATTCTGATAGCTTAATTATTAATTAAAATTTTTATACGAATTTGATTAAATGAATTTAAATCAAATCATAACTTAAGCTTAAAGAGGGGGCACTATCCGTCTCGAGAACTATTCAAAGCAACTTTCTCGATGATTCTAGACAATTAGCTATCGATCTGTTGCTCCTAAACTCTTCCAAAACACATTATTTGGATTACGTGCAAACCATATTTCCTGTCGGCATTAATTGGGGTTAGTTTTCATTCAACAAAATATATATTACCAATATTACATATTTAGATAGAGCTACTATTGTTTATGCATGTTTTACATAAAATTAGTCAATTTTTTTAAAATAAAATTTGCAAGAAGCTAAGAATAATCACATGAGTTCATCCTGATATCACTATTATCATTTAGGTTGGCTGGCAAGCTAAATGCTCCTAATTTTTTTCATAATTTGGCTTAGTTTGAGTTCAATTTTCAATATTAAGGCGCCAATCAATGTAAGTCGTTTCATGTTGATATACCGGTTTTAGAATTTATTATTATTATCTCAAGCAATTAGGAGCTGTTAATCTTATAAAGTTACCTACCTAAGGTCACTACGCCTTTTATTTTTTGATCAACATAAAAAATGATGAAATAGCCAACATTTTATGAGCATATGATATTGGCGGAAGGGGATAGATTAACCACAAGGGGTCAAGGTAAGGAGGCCATCACATTGGATGTTTCAATGTGGTTGGTAACTACTAATCAGTACTAAATAATACATTTACAATTCTTAGTTTATAGTTCTATTAATCTAAACTTAACTTCATATTTTTATAATTACTTATTAGTATTATAATATAATTAACGGATTATCCTCAAGTTTATTTACTAAATTATTAAGTTCTATTTTATATACTATTATTCTATTTTTAATTTACCATTATTATCTTAATATATATATCCTCACAGGTACTATCAAGTTTCCTCCATAAATAAAGTCCCCCTCTTTGAATTATCTTTCTACTTTAGGTTTACTCCTGACAAATTATAACAAGAAATTTATTATTTTTATTTATATTTTAAATATTTATTACACAGTGTCCTCTGAACTGATTGAGACACTTTATTATTGGTATCGAGAGATAACGGAGCCTTTTACTCTCCGCTTATTCTTAGGCACCTGGAATGTCAATGGCGGTAAATGTCTTACCTCCACGGATTCCGAAAATTTAAGTGAGTGGCTGACGGCTCCTATCTACAAAATTAGTTTTAAAAGTTCGCCTATTAAAGGTTTTATTTTAGACTTTGTTAAAAACAATTCAATATCGAATTATTTATCTATAAAGTTGCCAGTCGTCCCCGTTAAGGAAAGGCTCACTTCCCAGCCATCCCATTGAGTTCTAAGTGTCCCTATTATTTCATTTCTCGAAAAGTGATTGGTTTTATAATAAAAATCTTACCACCAACCATTGAACGTATTTGTTCCCCTCTTTGAAGTTATTTTCTGCTAACAGATGCTTAAGTAACTGAATGATAAAAAAGATACCGATTTTTTCTTCTTCTTTAAAATCAAGCTAACTATAAAATTATTGATCATATTTAAACGGGTATCATTCGCTCAATTAACAATTTTTTTAAAGTAATTGACATAGTGACTCTAAGGCGACTGGAATATAATAATTTTTACATGTCCTTATCAGACATATAAGAAAAATTTGAATTGTTATAGAAACCTCATAAATTTATAAGTTTTTAATGTAGGAGTAATGCAACAGATTCCATATTTTTGGGTTTTCAAATTTCGATAATATGATGGCCCGCCAAATAAAAAGTAGGTTTATGCATCAGCATACTCTAAGAAAGCCAATTCCTAATTGTTTGGTTATTTAATTTATCTGTTTTATTTTTAAGATTGTATTATTTTTTTTTAAATATTAAAATTCATACTTAAATGCATGCATATTGTGAAATGCCCATTTATCTGATATACATATTTTTTGGTTATTATTCTTGTAAGAAAATGAATAAAAATAACAAAGGATATATATTTATATATTTTTGTAAAAATCCACATAAAAAACGTTCAGCCTATTCTCCTTAAAGTTTATAATTCACATCTCTTCTCCTTATAGTTTTGGCAAAAAATTTATCATTTCCATCCCATAAATAACCTACCATTTTTTTAAAGAATGTAACAATTTAAATATTTTTTTTTATAAGTCTATACAATATAACATATATAATACAATATATCTTAAATTTATATTTTTTTCTTGCAGATTGTGATGATATGGTCCCCGATGTGTATATTATTGGTTTTCAGGAAATTATCGATTTAAATGCCAAAAATATTGCTATTTCAAAGTATGCATCTAATTAAAACAAACCAATCATATAGAGCCCTGCAAATTACAATATCTGAGCTTGGCCCGAGTTTCTTTTAAATTTTTAAGCCTGGCCAAATTTATTTGTAGATCCAAACTCGATTCAAATTTTTTTTATTAAAAAATATATAGTAAACATCATTTGTTTTGTCTTAATCATAGAGAAATTCTAATTATTGTTTTATTTGACCAAGTCTCAGGCCAACTTGCCGAGCTCTACAATTATTTCGTTTTAATTTCTATTAAAACAATAATACTCTTTAACGTTCCGTAATTTATGTTTTCCTGCTTTTAGCGTCTAGAATATTCGGTGCTAGAAATCTTATATATTACATTAAAAATATGTTTCATCGAAAATTCTTTCCGGTTTTAGAGATGTTCCTGAAAAAAATATATTATTTTATTTCTCTTTTCTTTATAAACACAAGTTTTTTTTAGTTATTTAATCTTGATTATATTTTATTACATATGATGGATTAATTTTTTCTCTGTTAATCATTATTAATTAAAGTATTAAAATTTTTTGGATGATACTTATTCATTTTTTTGAATATTTTTTATTTGAAAAAGTTTGTAATATAAATTGATTGACAAAAATATGATCCGAGCCTAAGTTTTATAGCTATATTTTTACAAATATAAAAGATATATTTTAGTTAACATTTAATTACTTGTATATAATAATTTTAAAAATGAAAATATGATTTACCCTTTATATTATTTATTTTGGGAACATGTCGAACTGTTATTTCGTTCTTGTTTTATGGGATTAGGCGAAGTCATCCACCTAATCGGAATTTGTAAAATATTTTTTTAAATTATAATTTAAGCATCGAATTTTTTTTAGCGTGGAAAATCAAAGATATTGGGAAACCGAAATACACAACATTCTAAAACTTAAAGGAAAATTTGTGTCAGTTATAAGCGCTCAGTTGGTTGGAGTCTGCGTTTTTTTATTCGTTAATCATCCCCTTGTTCATTATATCAAGTTAACCAATTAATATATTTTAGATACCAAAATAGTATATTATTATATTCAGTATTTGTTGCCACTGGTAGCAGTTAAATTGAAAATATATACCGATACTCGCGGATATCGTGAGTATCAATGCATTTCTACAATTAATAGTGCTGCTAAAGTAATTAGTTACCGGTAACTAGTTAATTTTTTCAAATATATAATTTCAACTATTTACATTTTAGAATATAGCGACATAAATAATTAGTTACTTTTCAAGTATTTTTAAAATAAGTTAAATAATGTAATATTTTTATATTTCATTTATTATTTTTTATTAGGATTTCCAAAATATTAATCATCAATTATAAATTGCGAATTATTTTACATAAAAATTACAAAAGAGACATATCAGTCACCAAAGTTAAAACAGGGTTAGGTGGCACCGCCGGCAATAAAGGAGGCATTTGTGTTCGGTTTACTTGCGGATCTGAATCATATAGTTTTGTTTGCGCTCATTTGGCTGCAGGTCAGAGCCAGGTACGGGAGAGGAACTCTGATTTTGCCGATATTAGCTCAAAAATTGTGAGTCAATTTTATATTATTAGTTTTTAACCTTCGTCATTTTGTGTACTAACCTTGCTAAGAAGTGAGTGTATTCAGCAAACATATTTATTTTGTGGCAAAACATGACAAGAGCTAACGACTTTACTTTTATGTATAAGCGTAATGGGCATTCTTTGGCACGGGAAAGCTCAAGCCAAATTTTTTCGGATATGGATGACACAAAGATTTTTGTGTTACTATATTATTATTAACTATAAAGGGATTTAGGCATTTTAATGCAATACACAAATTGTTTAAAATAATTATTTTTTAAATATTGAAATATTTTAAAATATACGTTTTTATGAGTGATTGTGATGATTATTTTACTTTTCTTGGGTTTTCTCGATATTTTTGTTAGAATGAAATAACTATTATTTTTGATTATTCTTCGTGTAATAACAGTTTTCAAGTTTAACCTCTGTTTACGGTCCTTGGCATCTTTATTTGTAGAATCATTTTTCTCGTGTCATCCATTATCACTTTCACCCATGCGTTGGTTCTTCCTCAAGACCTTGATACCCTTATTTCCATCAAGATGCACATCTTCACCCATTTCACATGTCATCCATTATCACTTTCACCCATGCGTTAGGTCTTCCTCAAGGCCTTGATTCCCTTATTTCCATCAAGATGCACATCTTCACCCAATCATACCGAAGAATGAGGAGTTCAACTCATGCTCTTCTATAATATTATCACTAAAATTTCAGGAGTTGAAATAACTGGATGATTATTTATAGTATCAATAATTTTATGTTGTAAATATAAATTGCATTTTATGGAAATTAACTTTTACACGATTTTATTGCTACTATTACGATTTTTGGCATGGGTTGACCTAAGGTCTTTCCAGCATATCTGAGGTAGAACATTCCTTGCACTTTCCCATATTCCCTCGTTTTCCCAAAAACCACTCTTTGATCAAAATTATGCGAAATTGATGAAAACAACTCCGAAATCAAGATAAAATATTGAATTAGGGCATTCACTGCAGCCAGGCTATGCTATCTCTTCATGGTTAGCTCAAAATCACTAAACGAGGATCAAATATGTTTACCGCGAAATGAATATTCTGACAACAATTTCACTCATTATAATATATATTTCTGATCACTTTCGCCAAGTAAATTCATTGTCTTTATGATGTTGAAATATTGTAAAATGAATTAGATGATATACTCGATTTATCACTTTCTAATATGCTTTCCTTAATGGCTTTTACATTAGTAGTCTTAACAACCTCACTTTATTTCTTCTCGTTACCTCTCCAATTGCTTCTATTGCAATGCTTTCTCGCAATTCCTTCCCCCCCCCTCTTTCTCAGTGATATCTCACACATTCATCTAACAATTCTCATTCATCTGCCGCTCTCATTGCCATATTTCACCATCGTAGACTATATCTTTCGGAATTACTTCCATGCATATTTGGCCTTACGCGGTAGTATTAACATCTCCATCGGCATTCACAGCCTGTCACCTAAATAACAAAACATTCCCAATTTTTCCAAAATATATCAATCTGCGGATATCCAATCCTCCCTTATTTACGTTATTATCTACATCATGGATGTCGCGCCATCTATCTATTTCCTTTCCACCACTAAATCTTTTATTTACCCATTTTTGGTATTGGAGCATTATATTTAATTTCTAGCAACTCCTTTTCCACATACACCACAAAATTCTAGATTCCTCCATCTAAGTGTTCCTGCCAAGTCATTTCTACATTCAGCCCTCTGTTTCTATAGCTATCTTTCATCCAAATTTTTGATCCCAGTGCCATCAAGACAGGATCATTTTAGAATAAAAGAATTTCCATGGGAGTCTTTCTTGCGCTTTTGTTGTGACGTCCATTATGTAAATGATGATCTCAGAACGAATCATTTATGTAGTCCTAGTCCTGCCTTTATTTCAAAGCCCCCATCATCCGCCCGGACCGCAGTTCGTGCTCTCACATACATTGTAATCACTGCAGATACTCGTCATTCTTATGTGATTTCTCAAAGCCCTTCTAGTAACCTCGCGCGATATCCTGTTAAACATCAATCTACAAACGTATAATACAGTTTCTTTCCCTTCGCTAAATATTTCTGTATTTATCACACCACAAAAATTGCATCATTTATGCATTTCCCAGGTGGTAACTAAACTACATTTTATCATTTTTATTTGTTCCCATATTTCCTTACTCAAATACCTCATGGCATGTTTCAAAAGTAAAATTCCTCTATATTAATAAGACAGGAAATCTAAATAATCACCTTCTTTGTGTATCGACATCTTCAATCCTTGGGTAATTTTGATGCATAAATTCGTAAGAAAAACGATTTCCAAGTCTTCAGAACTCTTAAACATTTCTGTTATTGTTGAACCTCAAGTTTATATATGTTGTTACCCGATTATTTATATATTTGAATCATTCAATATTAACGATACTACCCCCCCCCCCCCCCCCATTTTCCATGCCAGTTATACTCTCCCCACCCCCGCTAGTTATATATCTTTTATTATTAAAATATAATTTTTGATTTTTAAAATTTACATGCATGCAAGTGTTAGATGAAGCACCTTGATGCATAAAATAAAACTCAATTTTTGTTTCAAAATCGATTTTTTTGAAATAACTTTTTATATAAAAATCCATTTATGGGAATGAAAAATGGCACAAAATCAGTTTTTTGCAAGGAACAAAAAAAATTAAGAATTGAATTTTTTTAGGCGAAATAGTTTTTGTATGTCGAAATTATTTTTTGAAGAAAAAATATCGTTCTCATTACAAGTTTAAGAGGAAGGGATGTGAATTAAATAATTTATATAATTTCCTGTATAAATAACTTCTTCATGTTAATCAAATGAAATAAAGCATCCTATTGTGAATAACACTGACTACCTGTTTTGGTTTGGAGATTTTAATTATAGAATCGATATGCCGATTGATAATGTTAAGGATTATATTAAAGAAAAGAAATGGGACCACCTTACCTCGGCTGAGCAGTTGACACTCCAGAGACATCATAAACACGTAATAAAATAAAAATGAATTATATTATTTAAAACGAAACGATTAATATTAAATATTTTTCTATTATAAAAAATTGATTATAAATCAACTGTAATTACTAGTGCTGTAAAATAACGCCGTTCTGAGGAAAAGGAACGCCATTCGTTACTTGTTTCAAAAGGTAACGAGTAAAGTAAAACCTTTTATTGAGTAACGGTCGCGTCACTTTTTGCATTAAATTTTTTCGTAAAAAATATTTATAAATAATTTAAGCCTAATTTTTAATGCGGATCAACCTCCAAAGTTCTTCATTCTATTTATTACATTTTTATTGCTGAATTTTATACCATCAAGATTGTTAATCTAATTAATATTTAATAATCAAGGTATGTTAATTTATATTCTCTAATATTATAATTATTTTATTAAGAATACATGTTAATTAGTGATCTGCATCGGACCTAATCAAACCCGGCTCGAAATTTATTTTAAAAATTTGTCCTGCCTGAGCTGATCTTGAACGAAATTTTTCTGACCCGAAAAGCCCCACCTGAAATAAAAATTAGTCGCCAGGCCCGGCCCGAATTTATCTAAATATAGAAAAATTTGATATTTATTTTGATTCTAAAAAAATATTCTACAAAAAAAAATAATAAAGCCTTGTTTCTTGCAAGAATTTTAAAATATATCAATTTATTTGACAAAGTGTAATGTTATCATACTTGAAAATTTAAGCCCGGCTCGGCCCAAAATTTTTTAAACCGACAGCCCTAACAAATTATTTTTTAAAAATAGTTCGGGCCGGGTATGGGCCGGGCCTTGATTTGCAGATCTCTAATGTCAATAGTTTGATAAATGCTATATAAGATTATTATTATTTCATACATTTTATATTATAGTTTATTTGGATTATATTATCATGATTATCATATATATGATTGATGTTTATAATGTGATTCGTGATGAAGCAACAAATAAAGTGACTATGTTTTGTACTTTTTTTAAATAGTGCTTACTTCATCAGGTGAAGACTGTTTAACTCTGCTGTCCCCATTGTGAAACATTTTTTACACAAATAGAGGAAAATATTTCAACCTCGATGTCCGGCAGTTAAATCTAAAACATATGAAAGTAAAAATATGAACTCAGATTGAAATAAAGATAAATACAAATTTGATGAGGATCGGAATGAAGATTCTTGTGAAAATGATTTAATAAGGTTTTTTGAAAATATTTCATAAATAGTTTTAATTAATTATCCCAATAAAATTTTTCTTTTATTAAATATAATACACCCCCCCCCCCCCCAGAACAGTGTTTAGTGCTGTTTATATTATCAAAATTTTGATAAAATAACTAAAAAATGATTACAAAGTAACTTATCTTATACATTTTTTTGTATAATTTTATTTTTAATTATCTATGGAAAAAAAATAAATAAAAAGAAAATCTTTATTTAATAGCATGTAGCGCGTCCCTTTTTCCTTTTTAACGAGTAACTGTAATGTATTCATTTTTTCAACGTTTATAGCACTAATAATTATTGGTAAATTGCATTTATAAATTTGCTATAAATGAATATGTAGATCATATTAGTGCATTTTTTGAAGGGGCCCAATTAATTGCAATTCGGCTTGAGGTTCCGGCTTCAATTTTTTTTTGAAATATCGGGCAGGGTTGGGGCTTGAAAAATATAAATAAATTCAATAAAAATAACATCGAAAATATATCTTCTCTTGTTTTATCATAATACAATAATGGATAATTAGAATTTATCTATGTGATTTTTACTTCATTTATCTTCACTTAATTAAAGAATCCGGCTAGGGCTCTAGATCCCATTTTTAATAATTACTTTTTGGGGAAAAATAATTAATAAGAGAATCAAGTAAAAACCCAAAAATATGTCAATAAAATAAATTACATTATATAAATCAATTAGTTTTTTAAATTTCGTTTCCATTATCTAATTAACATTATATGATTTATAACTAACATAAATTTAAAAAAATAAATATATCAGCTATTGTGATACAATAGATCTACCGGTGCCCGATATTTCACTAAAATGTGCGACTGGGCCGTTCGATATTACGAAATTGATATGAAAAAATATATTTGATTTTTAAAAAAATTTATGAATAAGCCACATTTGAGCTTTTTGCAAATTTATTTTGTTTTCCTTCAAATGTTTGCTCTAAAAGGCATTTCAAGACTTCAAAGAGGGTTTCCTTACATTCGCTCCTACTTATAAATACGATCTCTTTTCCCAACACTACGATACTTCCGATAAAAGTCGGATTCCGGCGTGGACAGATAGAATTTTGTGGAAACATAAATCTAGACCAGGATTTAATCATTTAGATGGTAAAGTTGATTCTGAGACTGACGTCGATGGGAAAAATGATGAAATTGATAAGAGTTGTAGGCAACTTATATACGGGAGAGCTGAATTGAAGAGTTCTGATCATAGGTTTATATCAGGATGAGTTTTAACAATAAAATACTATAAAGATTGATTGATTTTATTAATTTATAAATGACATTGATTAATGCCTGGTAGAGGTCTACAAAGTAATTTTTTATCAGTCCGAGCCCGAATTTAAAAAACTTTTTTGTCCTAGCTCTAATACATTTTCCTACCCGACCCGAGCCCGAATAAATATTTACAATTTGAATTTAAATATTATAATAACCAAAAAAAATTTATGTGTATTTATTCATAGCCACCTTAAATAAAAGTTTATTTGACGGCCATATAATCAAGATATATATTAAGCTGCATTTTATTTAATTTGTATAAAAGTATTATAAATAAGTTAAAATACATTCGAATTTAAAAATAATTGCGATTATATAAAAACAATAAGCATGATTTATGTTGAATTTAGATGATATAAAGTTAATATAGAGACTAAAAAATATAATAATGAGCATATTATAATGACATATCAATATCATTATCAAAAGTATCACAAAGCGAATAATTATAATATATAAATAATGAGGAGTCCAGTTTATTTGGCTTTAAACGAGCCCCTTTCTTTTCAAAGGACCTACCAGCAGCTTAAAACCTTTTTCACTGCTAGCCGACGATGCAGGGATAGCTAGGAATTTAAGAGCCAAAATACTTAAATTTGGAAAGTCGTAATGGTTTGTCTTCCACCAATTCAAAATATTATCATCTTCAATATATAATTTAGCTAGGTATTTTTGAAGTTCGTCAACTTCAACGCTAGCATCAGAAGACTCATTGTCAGTCTCCCATAGAGAGAAATCCAAAAACGTATCTGCCTCAGTATTTTCTTAAGAAAAAAATAATAATTTTAAAAGATATATATTTACTTTATTATTTTTTATTTAATATATTATTAATTTAATGAACCTTTATTTGCTATTCTATCAGTTGTGTAGGAGCTAGATGGTGAGTTGGTATTTATAGATTTTTGCCCAATCATATCTGTTGATCTTCTATGCATTAATCAGCGTGTTAATATGTTGGCACAAATCTTTATAATGCTCTCGGGATAACATTTTCATATCCCGTAATTTTGGACACTAAAATGTCGAAATTTCATGGAATATATCTATTTGTTTATCCTGCGATAGCTGGTTAAGCTGCGAGTTTAAGTCTGGATGAGGTAAAAACTTAATATTTTGTGATAACAATCTTTGTGAATGGTGGGTTATAAATCACCCTAAGTTCATCACTCGCAATTTTAAAAAGCGCCAGAAACTTGATAAGATCCCTCATCATTTCAGAATCTATATTTTCGAGCTTAATCAACTCTCCTCTAGAACTGTGAATCTCCAATATCTCATTTAATTGATTAAAAATAGATTCGATCATTATTCCATCGAGTCTCAACACACAAATGGAGTGTTTTATCAAGTTGATTAACTAATCTAAAATTTAATGCTATATTTTAATAAAAATGATTTAATTCCCACTCTGTTTCATATAAGTAACTAAACTTTTACAATCAACAAAACATTGATATATCCAGGGATTCGAACCCGAACCCGGAATAAAACCCGGATTTTTGAAAAAAAATCTGAACCCAAACCGAACCTGAACCCCGTTTATAAAATTTTCAAAACCCCGAACTAAACCCGAAAATTTTATTTGAACCCGGGTTCAACCGGGCTCAGTGTATTGTTTAAAATCATATAAGATATTTGTATAATTGTAAATACAAATATTAATAATTTAATTGAAATTTTATAATATTTTGAAATTTTCAATTAAGTGAAATGTTAATAAATTTTAAACAACTTAATTCATTTATGCCTTTTTTAAAATTTTTAAAATTTATTCTCAAAGATTCCTATTGGAGTGTTAATAAATAAACTATTAAATTCATTTACGCCATTTATTTTTAATTTTTAACTTATTCTTAAAGATTATTAATTAGAAAAGTAAAAATATTGCTAATTTAAGAAATACGTCTAAATAAAATTTTTAAATTGATACATGACTATTTTTTGTTTTTTAACTATATTTTACCTATAAATAAAATAAAAAATTTATTTTTTATACCAAATTTATGTCTAGATTTTTAATTATGATTTAAATATATAATTTTTTTTATCAATTCATTTAAACTCTAGCTTAACCCGGAACCAAACCCGGGTTCAAAAATATTTCCCTTAACCAAACCCACCTATTTTTTACCTTAAACCGAACCCACTTAATTTTTTTACCTTAAACCGAACCCGCGCAAAAATTTTGCCGATTCGCATCCCTGGATATATCTGAACCTCGAGGTTCAATATTTTTATTATCAAAGGTATTCCTTAACTGTATTTAAAAGATGAGAAGCTCAATTCAATTGTTTATGATTTTCAAATGCTTTAATCATATTAGCTCCTTGGTCTGTAATGAATGGCATTTCAGTTAAATATGCCCTACTGTATCATGATATAAAAAATACATTGATTTTTATAATAAATTTCTAATTTCCTTTTTAATATTTTCACCCGTCTTTTTTTCTTCTTCAAACTAACTTCCAGGAATCGTTTAAGAAATGAATAGTAAGAGTTACATAGAAAACTTTCTTATAATCATCAGTCCAAAGGTCTGTGATGGCTATAAAAAATTATAAATAATTTTACCATATTTTCATATACTTGTTTCCAGCACATGTACCCTTTTTCATATATACTTTTAATTTCGGAAATAATTTATTGCGTGTACCATCAGCAGTATCTATAAAATTTTTAGAAATTTCGTGGGATTTGGAATGAAGCGTTTAACATCAATATTTCCATATTATTGAGACAATTTTGACAACAATCAACAAAACCTTTCCCCTGAATTGTCAAACGTATCCAGGATTTTCTTATGGGGGAGGGATTTTGTTTAAGCTGTTCTATCAAATTATTCATAATTTTATAATAATTAAATTTTTATTTTTAACTATTATTTACTAATTCGTGCTTATAATTATTACAAGCCAATTTTTTATTATTTTAAGTTAGGTATATTATATTTAATAAAGTTCTTTTTAAATGTAAAGTTGAAATAAAGTTTAATGTCATTTTTTTTTATAAAATTTGCTTTAAAAACTAGCCTCAGCTTAAATTCTCATATAATATAAGTAGAATATAATTTTTTTATTGAAAATACTAATAGAGTATGTATAAAATATTGACTAGAATAATTTAAAAAACAAGTTTTTTTTAACTTCTTATCAAATACAATATTATACAAAAAATTTTATTAAATATTATAATTAGTATTTTTAATTTTCGTGGGAATGTTGCCAATTCATCAAGAATTTCGTTTGTCGTTGGAACCAAATCTCTGTGGATATAACAGAGCTCACCCATTTAGCCGAGATTCGGAAGTAGTACTTCGTAAATATGTTTTCAACTTTCAAGTTCGAAAAAGTCTTCATTCGTACATGTTGTAATAGGCAAAAGAATATAAAATAACTTCAAAATATTAGGAAATTGAGCCAAGGTTTCTTTACACCGATTGAGCGCATCAATAGCATCCTCAGGTAAAATAGTTAAACGTAGTAAACCACAATTCGAATTCACTGATTAAATTTATTTCAGTATCAATATCATAGGAATAAAATTTTGCTAAATATTTAATTTTACCAATAGTGGCATTAGAAAACAAAGAAGGGTCTTTGGATAATAAAACTTGAAGATTGCTAAAGACTTGTTTTTTTTATCTAAAAACCGTTTTATTTGCGATAAAATATATCTAAGAATGGGATGAAAATCGATATTTTATAATATTCTTCAGTTGAGCCAATATTTATTTTACATTTCAATAATTGTCTAGGTGCTAGACGAGGTTTAATTAGTGTTATATCATAAAATTAAACCTTCGATTCAATGTCTAGATAAATATTATGAAAAATTCATCTACATTCATTCTTAATGTATCTACCTGTTCATTTATATTTTCCCCCAAATCAATAACCTGAACCAAATCTATTTGGTTTTTGTAAATTTCTACAAAGTAGTGAGCTATGGGAAAATAATTTATTGATGCAACTAGCAGCAATGATAAACTCTGATTGATCAATTGAATTCAATAATGATATCGCTTCTGACAACACATTACTTTTTTTCATGCTCAGCCTTATTTAACTTTTGTATTTCTATTTCTTCTGTTCTACAAAATGTAAGTAAAAATGAAAAATATTTAAGAAATTATAGATATTTATTAATAATTAAAAAATTATAGATATTTATTAATAATTAATATTATTAAAAATACTTATTAATTCTAACTCACTAATAATTTTGAATTTAATAAAATAATTATATATAATAATAAAATAAATTACTGTTTGATTTCAATCTCTTTGACTAAAAATTTTTCCATTTTATTAATATTTTTGAATAATGTTAATGTACTCACAAAGAAAGGAAATTTTAATAAAATTTATTTATAAAAAATAAATATTTGTAAAATTTTAATTGGGGGGGGGGGGGGTAAAATTTTTATTAGCTTAAAATGATATTTATGAAAACAGTCAAATTTGAGATGGAGGGGGGGTGCCTGACGTCCACAAAGCATGGTAAGCACCTTTGTACACTCTTTTTTAAAATTTGGTACAACTTTTGAGTTTTATGGGATCAGTACCAAAAGGCTATCAATTGTTAATTGAGTCTTTTTACTCTATTGTAAATACACATTTATGCCTTTTTAGTTGATTTGGGCCTAAAATAATTTAATAATATATTTATTGTATATAAATATACTAACCTGTTGTTATAGAATTATAAACATATTTTTGCAAAAATTGCAACTTACATAATTAAGTTCTTCTTTGTTTTCGTCATATATAGAAAATTTTTTCCAGACCTCAGATTTGCCATTGGCATTTTCCCTTACATCATATTTTTACCATTTTTTTTTAATTTGGCATTTATTGAAATAATTTTTTAATGATGAAAATATGAAGCTATTTAATTAAATATATTTAATTTAACTTGATAGAATATGATGAAAGTAAAGTATGTAATAATATCGTTTTAACTATGCAATGCAAAGTACTAAAATATAATCACATAAAATAGTTTGGTATATGGTTGTTATGTAAATTATAAAATAATAATTGAAAATGACATGTTATTCTGATTGACATTTTAAGGATAGAATACGATAAATAAAAAATGATATAGTTTTATAATTGACATTATTAATTATAAGGATATATAGATTTATTTTTCGGGTCGGGGTTTGGGTCGGACAGCTCTTACAATCCGACCTGAGCCCGAACCTGGAATACTTTTTTTAATGTCCAAACCCTAGCCCGAGGGTAAGGTCTGGTCAAGTCGGGCTATGGACAGCCTGTGCGGTTTTCTAATGCCTGGATAACTAATGCATATCTCGTATTTATTAATAAGGTTGTTCAATCAATGCGTTGGAGGGAGAGTTGTGATTATTTTATTTAAAAATGAAATTCAACAAGAATTCTATTTATAAAGGCTTCACATAACAAACATATCAAGGCCTCTATAAGATTTGGATCATGCTTTTCATACATTTTTTTATTTTGGGAATTAATATTTTGCACAAACCCAGAATCTTGAAAAATGAACGAATCATTTGTGTGGCATGTGCTCAAATTTAAAAAAAGATTTAATTATTAGTATTTTCATTATTATTGGAGGAGTTCTAATGTATGAAGGTTGTTCAATTATGTGCCATTTTTAATATAGCTATATTATTAAGGAGGATAAGGAGCGGGCAAATATAAGTGCAACACAAATTGATAAGTTATCCACAAAAATAGATTAAATTAATTTTAATAATTAATAATTCTACTATATAATTTAATATTTTTATAAAATTAATTTCATCTATGGATTCCGATATATCTTCCATTTGAAAATTAGTTATTTAAAAATATGGATGATGATATCAATTTCAAATTAGGTTCTTTTAAGTTTGATTTTCTAGGTTATAAATTTTAAAAAATTATTCCGTTATTTGAAAATAGGAAAGGGTACGTCATGAACAAAGACGTGCTCGTCTTTTTCTGGACAGACAAGTAACTCATAATTACAGTCGCGTAATTTTGATATTACTTTAATCTTTTTTTGATTAATTATTTCATTTATCAACTAGACCCGTATACGCTATATTCGATACCGAAACCCGTCTATTTAACCCCGATTTATTTGAATCCAAGCTAGATTCCATAGTTAACGCGGCCGGTCCTTTAGATAGATCCGTTAGAATTTATTTGCATATTTTGAGAAACAAAATGGAAATGAATAAAAATGCAGATAGAAAACCTCCACTACTAAAGGTTGAATTTACTCATGAAGATTTTAGCGATGAAGATTTGAACGGTATTTATCAAAATCTGTACGATAGTTTAACTAACAATGCCGGTGAAATCGTGTGGCTTAGGTTTTTTCCTTATTATATTTATAACCTGCTTATGGCGTTTCCATTTATAATGTAATATTTTAAAATCTGCTATATTTTCTGGTTAATTTTGGGCTCTTGAGAAAGGGTAGATAGTTCAAATCACATTCTTACTTGATTGCCTATCAACAACTCGATAAAAAATTACTTAAAAGATTCGACCAAGCTCCGCTTTCCTCATCACTACCTTCTAGTTTCCTCCTTAATCTTCCGCCTGGTCTGTATTACGCCTACGGCCTAACCTGCACCTTCGTCAAAGGCTACGCTGCCGTTTATGCCTCGCAACGTTTGAATCTCACTAATTTATTATCTACTTCCGGCGTTGTTGAGCTGGTTGTTAGGATAAGATATGATGAAATTAACGCGTCAATTCACCAGATTGTAGAAACCTCAAAAGAAGTAAGGGAGGTACAAAACCATGGTCTCTGGCGAGAGATTTCAAAAGGTGAACTAGTCGCTTTGAAAAATGCTAATTGCTTCATGAGAGAATACGAAGACGCAAAAATTAATCAGCAAAGCTTTATGGAAGACGATATAGTGCTACAACATGGTCAGATTTTCTAACACTTTTTGTCTAGTATTTTATCCTTGAGAGGTGGGGTGGGCATAACAACTTGTGGGAGATTTTAACTGATTACAAATAAACATGTCGCTTATTTCAGCCCCATTTATTCTTTGATAGCCTCTTATTTCACATTACCACTCGCGTTATTTGATTAAGATTAGAAATTAAGAAATATATAAGAGCAGTAGAAAAACAATTTATTTATGAGCAAGCCTAAGTGTTGTATTATATCATTTTTAATTTGACATATTTTTTCATTAGACGAAACAAAATATTTATAATATAGTTACTACTCTTTATTTTTAAATTTTGTGCCATCACCTTTTTTTTCTAATTTATAGCTGAAGTCATTGATAATGATATAGGCCTTGAACTAGATACTGATACCAATTTCGGTAACGTTAATTCTCGTGGTTCTAATCAAAATATTTCAACTATTAAAGAAGGTAAAGTGTATTTTTTTTATAATTAATAAAATCGTTTTGATGTTTTGAAATTTTAATATAATATGCAGCCTTATTTATTAATTTAAAAAAATATTTCACATTATTTATGCCTTTTTTTGATAATAAGTTATAAATGCAGATTTTTAATATATAACTAGTGATCTGCTTAATTTACATAAAAAATTCAACATAAAATTGATAAATTTAGATATATTTTAAAAAATTTCTAAGGCCCGGCAGGGTCCGAATTTTCTAAAAAAATATTAGGCCCGGCCCGAAGCCTGTTTGGGCCGGGCCTACAGATCTCTAATATATACAATACATTCTGGTTTATTCCTTTAAATTTACATTATTTGAAAGAAAAGTTGAAATATTTATTTACTTATTTATTTTCAAATTTTTATGATTCATTATGTAAACATTAAATTAGTAGTTTGGATAAGGCATATACGTGGCAGTTATAAGCCTCGTTTGAAAATAAAATTTAGCAACAAATAATTTGATTATTAAAAATAGTTTTATATAAAACAAGATATATTAGTAAAATCATCCGCACTGCAATACACTTCTTTATACGACGATATGAATATAAAGCATGAGAATATTTGGTTTGAAAATATGTTCAAAAACAAGTTAAAGTTACCGCCAAACAGACCCCCTCCACCAAAATTTTTCCAAAGTAAGAAAATGCTTAGAAAATTTAATTTTTATGTAACTATATTATTGCGTGTAAATTAATTGAACGTGCTATCGTTAATATCGTATTTACGTATCTTTAATTAATTTCTGACCTATAGAGTTCGATCTTTATAAATTAATTAGGTGTGTTTTAATAAGATTACCTCAAGACTTTACCTGATAAATTTTTGCAATAATGCTACATGTACAATAAAAATTACGAGGTTATAACGAATGCTTGTCTTGTAGACATTTATATAAGGTTGAAATTTTATGTTATTTTATCCCTTGCTTGCTTGCTATATTTATATTTTCTTTGCATTACAATTTATGTTTTCTTTCAATTTTTATCATAAGGTTTAGATAATGGTAAATCCGTTGAACCTCCACCATTATTAGATATTGATTTTGATTCCAACTCATTTAACATTAACCATAGTATTATAGTAATTCATCACTTATATATTTTTTTTTAAATATTTTGTGTAATATTATTAATTAAAAATATGTGTGTCGTAGAGGTTTACCAAATTAAGGGTTATGCTTCATTGACTAGGGTTTTTTTATTAGTTATTTTTGAAAACTTAAATAATTTTTTATAACGCGTGTTTTTTAATTTTGAAATGCTTGATTCTGCCTGAATCGCATTTCAGTATATATAACAGAGACATGTGGGCCCGTACTCTGGCCTCGAATGGGCCGAAAAATAGTATTATATAAATAATCCGGGATGGCTTAATTAAGAAAAAATCGGACCTATTTAGATTATATCAACTGAAGAGTTGAAAAATGCTTATATAGAGCGTCAATATTAATTTACTACTCATATTTTCAATTTTCTTTAAAAACAATTTGCAAAATACAACCAAAATTAGTAATTTAAAATCCTAGCCGAGCCTAGAAATGTCTTCTCAAAACAGGCTTGAAACTAAATTTTTTTCAAATTTAGGCCAGGCCCAAAATTTTGATCTCTGCAGGTCTCTGATGCATAATGTATAAGGGAAACTTGTATTGTATTAAATATTTTTTGTGTGGGGCTAAAAATATTATGGGTCAGGCCGAAAAATAAAATACCTACCATGTGAATTTCAGACAACGTCATGAATGTTTTTAATTTTTATGAAAAATCTTAAAAAAAATTAATAGTTTAAAATTGATTTGAGTTTTTAAAAATGTTCTTACCCATTTTTTTGATAAATCCCCTACGACATTCATAATTTATTAGGTTTGTTTCAATTGATATCTTATTTTTTTGAACAGCCCCAAAATGATAACTATTCCTCAAATACCTCAACATTTTTTGATAATCATCACCATTCACCAAGTATTTATTTTTTATTGAATTGAATTAGGGTAAAATAGGTTCCAGTTCTGATCTCTTTTGACGCAGTTCGAGGGATTGCAGATTTCGGTTCCAAACTGTTAAAGCAATCAAAAAAAAAATTTTAAAATAAATAAAGCTATTAAATGAATTACACAACATTTTAAACAATAATAAAAATTATTTGCACTTTTGTATAATGGTTCTGGAACCCGTTTCAAGAATTTAAAATAGATTCCGGTTTATATAAATTCTAAAACCAGGTTCTGGTTCCTATATCTAGATTTGTCTCAGTTTCAAGGGTTCCAGTCCCAAACTCTGATTTTATTCGAGCAATTCATTTTTAAATATTTGAGGAAACTCGAAATAATTTTAATTTACTTCTCTTTTTCTTTGCTCTAAGATTCATCGGATTTTTATTCTCTCGCCGATAGCCACATAAATAGTGAAGACATTTTTTCTTCCAGCAATAATAAAATTGGGAGTGAGATCGCAAAACAATTCAACATTCCTTCTTACACAGATAAATTTAATGGGTTTCCCCACAATTTCATTGACGTCGTCAATCATCAGCAAATCACCACAGAGCTAAATGATGAAAAGTGTATTCATGCTCACCAAAATAATGATAACACAGAAAAATCTCGCTTTTATTGGAATAAAAACACTGAGGCACAAATTAACACTTTTGACAATATATTATATTCACAGAATATAGATAAATTTTCTAACCATGATACTAATATTGTACCTAAATCCAAATTTTACCAAAATATTACCAATGATAACGAACTTAAGAATCTCAAAAATTTACCTCCCTTACCGCCGGGTCGGACTAAATTTGGTCCGCCAAAACTATGAGATAAAATATTTATTTCGCTTTAAACAAATATATATTTTAAAAAAATAAATGATCTTCCAAAATATACAAACATTGATAATAATATTTTTAATTTCTTCTTTTTTTTTATACTCACAACTAATCATGTAAATATTTTATTGGTGTCTATTTAAAACAAAACAATATTTATACCGTTTTTAATAAAACCTGTTGTCAAATTTTTTTTATAATAATAATATAGCATAAATAATATATTTAATTTGCAGCTCAATTTCATATTCCATAATAAAATAGATTTAATTCCGAGTAAAAATAGATGCTGAGATGAATATAATTTAGTGTTATGCTGCATTCCATAAATCACAACAAAATAGTCATATTTTATTTGTCTAATTATTATTTATAAAGCCATAATTATTTGGGTCCCTAATATTCTAACTATTGAAAAAAAATAATAAGTGCAAATGATTCTGAACTGATATTTTTTTCGTGTAACTATTACTTTTTATCAGAATTAATCTCAGTATTTTTTCAATAATAGAGGCAGAAAATACTGCGAGCCTCCAATTATATTAAATTTTAAATAAATTAGCAATAAAAAGATATTTATAGGGATATCATATTTATCATCATATTTTGAATAGATAATAATATAACTATTCTGCTACTTTTTGCAAAAGTCTTTTACGATTATTTAATACGTTGTACAATCATAATTATAATTTTTTCTATTGTTAAATTCTGTTTTTTATTTATTCTTAATAAAATGAATCTGAATTTTCAATAGACATTATTTATTTAATCGTTTTTATTAAATCTAAAATTTATATATATACAATATTTATAAATAATATATCATGGTGTAATTGTATATTTTTTTATTAATTAATAAATATGTGAATATTGTAAAATAGATTATAATAAAAATGTAATAATTGTGGATAATATATTTAGAGTCAAATACCATAAAAAAACATCATTCACTATTATGATTTTTAAGAGAAATAAATGAAAAATGTAAATTTTGATGTAACGAACGAACACCAGTTTTGCATTAAATGACATTTATAAATTTGTGTGAGATAATTTATTTGTTACACATATGCACATAATTATTCAACAAAATAAATTTTTAATAAATGTTTTTCCAAGTGAGTTTATTGCTATTTCACAAGATATATTGGTTTTTAAAACTATGATCTCAAGTATCTTTGTAGATTTTATAGCATAATATCTTGAATGGGTGTGGTGAGATTCTTGTCTGTTTTAGGTATGCGGGGCGGCGATTTGGGCAAAAAGCTATTATTGTTTTTATGAGTCGATATATTTTTATCATTATTTTTCCCCAGAAAAGAAAACATCCGACTCATCCGCAAAACACTCGATGAATGACTAGACCTAAAAATGTTAATAATAAAGAGTTACATTTTTCCCTCCCCTTTTGATTAAAATTAATAAAATATGATTATAAATAATTATATTAAATAATAAGATAAATATCAATGAACAATCTAGAAAAAATCATCTTAACTTTTGATTGTATTGTAATTTGCTAATAACTACTTATACAAAAAAAAATCAAAGGAAAAAATGAAAAATCAGAAGGGAGGGGTCAGAATAAATCTGTTCATATATATATAAAGATTATCATAGAGTGCCGAGAATAAGAAAAGGTTCTTCTTTTAATTAGTTCATTATGAAGTGGTCAGAATAATCCAAGTCATTATAAAGAGGTGGCAACTTCTGAAAATTTTACTTAAAAAATTTTCATATTTTTATATAAAGCCCTATGGCTACACTTTTTTTATATCATGTATGGTTAATAAAATAGGGATTGGATTCCGATTAATAGAAAAAAATGTCATTTTCCTACTAATTTTCATAAGTTTATTCTTAAAATATACATTTTTTAAAAAAAATGCCAAAGGCGAAATAATATAATAGTCACTTTTTGGAAAATAAAATTTTTGGTTTTCAATTCTTAGTAATGTCATAAACCTTGATGATTTTTTTTAAATAGGGGTTAAATTGAGATTTTAATCAAACAAATATTAGCTATACCTCGAAATAGAAGATGGCCTATATCATGGATATCATTTGTTAAAATATCAAAAGTTAGGTAATTTAGCCTTTTTCTTAAAAAAATGGGCTAAATCGAGTTTTTTAACAATACTAAGCCTTAGTCAAAATATAAAAACTAGCCTTAAACAATGCTTTATTTAAATTATAACCTTGGATCTCCGTACAAATGGCGAAATGTATAGTTATCCTTGGCAAATATACCCGAACATGTTAGAATCTGTTTGAACCCATCTCGAAAATCACTATTTTTCCAAGCATATATATATGGGTTAACCGCGCTATTTAAATAATACAGTAGTACGCACACGCCATGCACAATAAAAAAAAGTTCGAGGTTTTTAACGTTATTTGAGTTAAACACAAGAATATATTCGACGATTTGAAGCGGCAACCCTAGGAGGGCGAAAGTGCCGACAATTATAGCTATCATGATTGTCGTTTTGGAAGCGATTATGACCCCCGCAGATTCTCGTCTCTTGTATTGTTCATTAATTTTTTTGGAGGAACTAGAATCCCTTCGGGTTAAGGATTTTTGATCGTTATCGCTTGCTAAGTTAGATTTAGCTTGTTCATCATTGATCGAAACCGTTCTTGTTTTAAGTAAGGGACGTGAGAGATGGCTTGAATTGGCAATTGGGTTGGTTTTATCTAATAAAGGATTAGTTTGCTCATTTTTAGTTAACCCCTCGGTACGTTTAATGATGCTATGAAGTTCGGTGGTGGCGGCTTTTGCTGGAATATTTGGAAGGTTTGTGGGTTCGATCTTGTTAACTGCGTCGCCCAAATCGGCAGGCACGTTCTGTTCTTCCATTAATGGTTTTAGTTGCTGAGTGCGAGAGTCCAAGGATGAATGATGCTGTAGATAATCATTTTCAGTTTTATAGGATGATGCCGATTCCAGCGAATTACGATCCTCATTAGTTACGGGTTGCAATGCCAAATCCTTTTGAGTATAGGCAGCATTTTGTGAAGTTACTCTTTGCGAAAAGTTATCAGAGAACATCGTTTGTAATAAATGTTTGTGACATTCATAAAAAATTTTCGCATAAAACAAGGATATTATCAATAATATTGTAACGTATAAAATGGAATAAGTTATGAGAAGGTATTTATAGAGGTATGGATAATTACAAAATCCTCTTCCAGGTTTTATGTAGAAAAAATGAGGAACGATGAATATTATAAAAAACGCTGTACCCCAGGCACTTACGATAATAGAATTCGCTAACTTTTCTCTCATGATTGAATTGTATCTAAAATATATAATTTATGATATAATTTAAAGCTAAATCAAAATTTTATTATTCATTGCAATAAATTTTAATATAATTTTAGATGAAAAATCTATTCATACTAGAACCTTGCTCTTAAAGTAAAAATGCCCAATTTCCTGACCTTTAAAATCTTCTATCTATCAATCATGAAATTTTATAACATTTCCAGAAAAACTACAAGAAATTCGTTAATTTTTTTCAGGAACTTTTTTAAAATTAATAAAGTTTTGTAAACATTTGAATATCATTGCTTTATTGATTAATTCGTCCAGCTTTCATTGATTTTTAAAAAAATTCTCCTTCGGAAACTTAACAGATAGTATATGAATCGCGTTAGTGTTTAAAAGTGTTGTATCCACCCATTATCTTATTTATCATAAATGAGCATTGTACATTAATGAAATTTGATGTAACGAATTATAATCATCTATATATAAAATCTCATCGTTATTAAAAATGAGTATTATTAATTTTTAATAGATAATACTCATCAAACAGAGATCTTATTGTAGTACGTCTTTTTGTATCTGTGATAGTACTTTTGCTACTTTATAATATAATAACGGTAGTATAAAAAAAATAATTAAATAGACATCTTTAGAAAATTTGATATCCAAAAAGATGGATTGAAATACGGCAAAAATTAATATGATTATAAATAGATGATTTTTTGAAAATAAAATTATGCCCATCTCGTCAGTAATATTTTAAACTAACCCGCCAAGTTAAATAAATACTTTTTCACCCGCCAGTCACCAATCTGACTGTTTAAGGTCCCTAACGCATACTTCTAATAAAAAAAAATTTTTCAACTAAAGTTATTTAAAAGACACCAAAGGAAATCCGATTAAATATATAGTAAGGAAATTACAATCGATAAGTTTATTCCTAGATTAATTGGCACAATATCAAGAGAAGGTTTAAACATCTTTACGCTTTATTTATGATATGACCTTATAAATACAATTCAAGGGATTGCAAATTTATGTTTTATAGTTTTTTAAAATAAAATAATATTTTTTTCAATATGGCCTACATTCGAAAATATTAATTTGATAGAGATTTTAAAGGATTAAGTTATTAAGAGAGAGATCATCTATCCTTTAGATTAATATATTTATTTGTATAATTTATAAACGTAATCCCTAACTTGGATTTCAAATCCATATTGATAAATAAAAAAGAACGAAAAAAATTATAAAAATATGATTTTAGCTTATTTATATAAAGCAATTTTCATTTCTGTTAATGCTACTTAAAAAAAAGTAGTGCGCTATAGCTACTAGGGGAGATTGGTGTTAGTCAAACTGTTTTTACAAAATTGGCTATAGTTCCTGGTTTTTTAGTTAATATAAAAAATAATATATGATTAGATACCTAAAACTATACTCAATAACTTATAAAAAAATTTAAGAATATAATTATTTTTTTTAAATTTTATTTTCTGTAAAAGTGAAAATTTTGTCCAATATGCCCCAATAGAGGGGTGAGGAAAACCACTTCAAGGGGCTTCCTAAACCATTAGTTTTTAGGCCATAATAAATTGAAATGATTTTTATTTATTAGTAATGATACGTATAGAATAATTTTATTGTTCAAAATATTATATTACTTATAAATGAGGCTAATTTTATATTAAAATTGAAACTTAATGGACATAAAAAAAAATAAGGATCTTAAGGAGAGATTATGATTTCTTACCATAAATCTAAATACCAATCATAAAAAGAGATATATTGCCTTTTCAAGATTTTGAAATTTTATTCATTATTAACTGCCACAATTTACGTATATGGTTTAGCATGCCCCGCTAGATCTAAGTTGACAAATCAGAAATAATATCATATAATAAATACTCATAAAACTTTCCCAAATTATAGAAGAGTGTTTAAACTTTCCTATAAGATTTTATTTACATATAAATGATTATATATTTTTATAGAAATTAAAATTCTCTCTTGTAATCTTTTGAAAATTTCATCAAAATTTTATTTCTTAAGTAAAATTTTAAATAATTAATTATTTCAAAAGATAATTTGTCGATAGATATAAACTAATAAAAACTATATTAGGATAAAATTTTAACCTTTTGGAAATGAGATTAAGTGATTAGCCAAGCCCCGTGGTTTACCTAACCCCAGTTTCCCCTATATTTTAAATATAGTATAACTATTTTAAATTATGTCAGTTTTTATTCAAATTTAAAATATAATAGAAATATCATATAATGAAATATTAGTTATACATAATTTTAATTAATTTGTTAATGCTTTTAAGATAAGATGTCAAGGCAAAAAAAATCTTTTTAACCAAAAATATTTGCTAAACTAAATAATCTCTCAAGAGAGGAACTGGATGGGAGAGTAAATAGGGAATTCTATAAATATTGTGAGATCTGATATGGATGATCTCATAAAATTAGCTTATAATCAATATTAATTATATCATCAGTTTTTATCTTCCTCATCGGAAACATCATCGAAAAATTCAAGAACACGAGATGTTCTCGTTTTGTTAGGTGTTTTTTTTGATGAAATACATAGTTCTTGAGAGCTAATATACGGTTTAGTTTATCCTTAATTATTGTGTTCAGCACCAATTCTTTCATTTTTAAATTGGATTCTTTGTTATTGTTTGCGGCACACAATTGATCTATTTGAGTATATATTTATAATCAGTCCAATTAAGGATGGACTTTCCACAACAGAAAATGCATTGTAAATCTTCAATCACAAATACTGCAATTAAGTAATCAAACATCTTTTTGGATGTTAAAGTATGAGTGGATTTTTCCCAAGAATAATTTTTCATAAATAGATTTTTTTCCCCTGAAGTACCAGGCCCATTTTTTATTTTAATTTTTTGATTTTTTAGCTTATTGTTGGGAATGCCTTTATTATATTAATTATTTTTTTAATTATCAATATTAAGTAACTTCATACATTTAAATGCAACTTTTAATTGTAAGAGGATTGATTTGCTTATATTAATTGTTTTATTTTTTTAAATAATTTGAATATAACTTGACAGAGTTTCAGTATCTAGATTTCTTTTACCTTTAAATGTAAAATCCTCCTAATATAAGTAAAAATTAAATTTCAATATTTTCGGAGCTTTTTTTACAATTTCTATCATAAGTTCCCCCTTTTATTTTCCTAAATAAAATATCTAAAAAATTACTTTACTTTTATAATTTAGTAGCAATAGCATAAAACAGTAGTCAAAGAATAGACTTTTGGCATGAAAAATGTGATACCAAAATAAGATGGATTATTTTCCCTGTTGAAAACGATTAAATTAGATGATTTTTTTATCCTCAAGTGATAAGGTTCAGCGTCGCTTGCTTAAATTATTAATACTATATAAATTTTTGCGTACAAGTGAACATAAACCTACATTCGAATTATATATTTTATTTGTTGTGTTTGTTAATTTTATTGAGTTCGAGAGGGCGGTTTTTTTTATGTGACGCTCAAGATTTGCTCCGCGGTGCCTCTTCATAGTTGTGTCACAATCAAGAATATTAAATTTTTATATATTTATAATACTATATGTTTGGATTCAATTTATCTCCAAGCATTAAGGTTAAAAATATTTAAATGTGGTAAAATGGCAATATACTAATGTTTACTGATACTTATATATCAAATTAATGATGATAATCTTTAAAATAATTTGGATATAAATTAAAATTTTAGTAACATACTAGTAATAACTCTCTTTTTTAAGCATAAAATCATGAGGCTCGAACCGGTTCACAGGCATTTTAGCGGTTCGGATAGAAAATCATTTAAAGGTTCAGATTTGATAAAAAATACAGATTTAAAGGTTTGGTTTGAATCCCAATCCAAGGGGTAAACCACAAACTACCTTTGTCTTATGTCACATGTGTATCTAATGTAATTTGTAAAATTTGGGGGTTTTTCAATTCCCGTGTAAATAATTTATTCTGATAATTATTTTCTGTCTATGCAATGCAAAACACCTGGTAATAAAAAATTGTCTATCTTCAATCTTTACCATTACGATACTATAATAATATATAAATTTTAATTAACTAGCTAAAAAAAACCCATATTACAAAAAATATTGAATATAAAATTTTGATATTTTTTAACAAAGGAAATTTTATATTTTTTCTAAAAAAAAATTCATTATTATAATAGTTTTTGGAAATAATTAAGTTATATTATATGTTTATGTTTATAACTCTTTATAATAATTTTTCAAGATATTGCGATATAACCTTGAATAATTTTTTTTTATCAAATTGTTTATTATAATATACAATTTGTTTATTTTCAAAATAATAAGTAAATACTTGATATTTATACGAATTAAATTAAGAAACTGATGAAAATATTTAATTAATTGTTTAAAGTATATTGCTAAAGAACTCTTTGTGTCTCCGTAGATATACTAGTGATCTGCAAATCACGGGTCGAGTCTATTTTTGAAAAATAATCTCGGTTTGGGCTGGGTCGGGCCTAATATTTTTTTATATAATTTCGGACCGGGCGGACAAATCATTTATATTTCGGGTCGGGTTTTTCCGGACAAGTAAGAAAAAATTTCATGTAGGGGACAAATTTTTTAAAAATAATTTCGGGCCTGCCAGATTACTAATATACATTATAACTTTTTATAGAGAAATTTTTTACTTTGCTGCTCTAAGAGGAAGTATTTTTCTTACACTACAACAAAAGGCTGCATAAGGAGCAGATTTGAGATTTTTAAGTCACAGGTCAAATCATCTTAGATATATAACCGGACTTGCCCATCGAAATAAATTAGTAACTGAAAACTAAATAATGAAAAACAAAATCTAACTTTTTTTACAAAAAAATAATAGATAAAATGGCCTTACAAACACAGTTTTCTACTAACAAATTAGGCATGTTAGAAAATAGGCCCAACTTTCTAAAAACCATAGGCATCTATGTTTTTTTTAGATCTTTTTTAATGTTTTTTATATAAAATATATAATATTTTTTTAACGTCATTGGGGGGACGAGAGGACTCAGGGGCTAAAGCCCCCTGAAAAATTTGAGCCCTCTCAAATTTTTAGATTTTTTTTAAATCACCAAAAAAAGAGGTCATTTTGTATAATGTTAGCTAAAAAGGGTAATTTTGAAAATAATTTTAAAAAATTTATTGAGCGCGCATAGATTGTAAAGGTTAATATGAGGCCCCTGTTATTATTATATTCTTATTTGTTTTATTAAATATATTTAATTTTTGATATCATATATATTGTACCTTATTTTTAAATTGAAACCGTTTAAATAAAATTATCCAGAAAAAATTATATATAGTAGAATTTGATAAACTGGAGATCATTTAGTTGTGATGAAGAGTGTGTATGAAAATCTAAAATTTTGAAAGGATTGAAAAATAATTTAGTTCTAAATATGCAAAAAAAGTATAATAACAGAAATATCGGGAAAATTTTTGCAAATAAAATAATTGTAACTAGCTGGAATGCAACAAAAAAAATAACTATTTACTCTTTAAGTTACAAAAATACGTTAAATTTATGTATATATCTCATTCTTTGGTGATTTTCCAAATTTAAAATTATGTTTAATAAAATATCTCACATCTGGGAGATCTTATAATAACATTTGTTTAGTCTAGGGAAGCGAATTTTTGGAAAGCATGCCTTTTAAACATCAATTTTGGAAATAATCAATTCTCAATATTTATATATTTTTTCGGGGCAAATATTAAGAGACCTGCAGAGAAACTATCTGCCCGGCCCGGATTTTTTTGGCCCGGGTTTTATATTTTTGAGGTCCAGCCCGAATTTGTTTTAAAATATACTACATTTATTTTTTTTGCTAATTTTTATTTGAATATCGTTTTTTTACAGTGGGAGGTAAGAATGTAGAAATTTACTTACATTGGCTGGAGGGTGGAGGGAGGGGTGTAGAGGTGCCTACAAATGACTAAATATATGACCATAATATTCGACTATTCTTTCTACTATTTTAACTTCTTAAAAATTATTAATTGTTGTTAGCCGTCCTATCTCTCATACCGAACAATTTTTTTTATTATATTAAAATTCAATCGAGTGAAAAGAGATTCGTTGACTTTTATCAAAATTTGACTAATCCCTTTATTTGATATTTAAAATAAAACATTTTATATTAAGGCTAGATCTGATATTAATGTTTTTAAATGGCTAGCTAGCAAGCTAGATTTTGATTTGTTTGCTTTTTGACCTTTTGAATTGCTTATATAAGGGCATCATATTCATAATTATGACTTAGCAGCAAGAAGACTGCTAGATATCAATCATGTCTATATTATGTATTCTTCCAATCTTCAATGAATGACCCAGAAGGTTTTTTTTATCTAAGTCACTTGATTTTTGCAGGATAACGCCAATAATATTTTCTATAGTTACCTGTTACCGCTAATCTTGTTCAAAGAGGTGATTAAAACAGTGTTAAATAATGGATATAATCTCGGCCTTAAAAATTAAATATTCGGGTCGAGTTGTACAAAAATAAAAAATATTCAAAAAAATAAATTAGTAATAACGAATAAATGATGTTTTCGCTTCTTATTAAAATAAAATCATAATTTTTCTGAAATTAAAACAAAACAATTAATGATTTTTTTATTTTATTTACTTTATAAAAATGCGTTTAATTTAAATTTTTCTCTGGGGTCGGGTTCAGGCCGAAAGGTGAGCCAAAAGTGACAATAGAAAACAAAGCCCCGGTTTTAAAAAAAATAATAATTTGATTTTAGATTTTTAGGAGGGAAAAATATATAATTAATTTTTTGATATTCATTATTAAACAATATTCTAATTAGCTCCAAAAAACAATAAAAATTATAAAAACTCATAAAGAAATTTAAATTTCACTATCGATTTATTGGTTTTTCTAACTTCTTTTTTTTTAAAAGATACTTCCAAAAAAATAGGACGTTATTTTACTCTCTTCTGTAAAAGTAATTGTATTTAATAAAAAAATTCAGTACTATAGATATTATTAATGCAGTTCAGGCTTCTCTGGGTGCAAGCCTAAAATTAAAAAAAAAAGAATCTTTTAGTACGTTAAATAATGAGACCAAACAATACCGACCGTGTTGTGTGCATATATTTAAAATAGGATATATTTTTTTTAAAAAAAGAATAAAGTTAACTTTGACATTTTAAATAAAATAAATGTGGTTTATGTTAATCATATTCATATAATTATTTATAAAATATTCAATTCAGAGAAAATTTAATGCCAAATTAAATATTCTGATCATGCATGCCATGTTAAATAATTGCTTTTAAAATGTAGTTAATTATTTAGTTACGTAGGCATGTGAAATATGTTCATAATTATTTTTGGTATTTTTATAATATAATTCCCTATATTAAAAAAATTTATTAAATGAAACTCAATTTTTTTTAATTCATAAAATAATAGTGTAAATTATTTTTATGGAAATCGTTATGTGCCACTAGCTGATTTGTTTTGATAAATTTTAAATGAAAGTCAATATAGGTAGTATTATATGTAATTATAGTAAAATTCTTTGAACTATCCAGACTATAGTGACCTGGGGAAGGGGGCATCTCCTCCATTGGGAATTGGCCTCTTTTCTTAAAAATCATTATAAGGTAATTAAAAACTTTAATCGAACCCCCTCCCCCCTTTCTCCCGGCAAAATACAATAATTTAAAATAAAAAGGATAAAAATCTTAAAAAATTTTTTTCAATGCCCTACCAAAGGCCTGCTATAAGTGAGTAAAGACCTCTAATATAATTATGGAATAAATTTTGCCCCCCCCCCCCCCCCAAAAAAAAAATAAATAAATAATCATGGCTATGCCTATAACTTAGATTACTGGGTAAGTATGAAGAAGAAAAAAACTATTACTGACTAAAACAGCATATTTAATGAGTAGAAAATGAATAAATAAATAATTTATGATTAATTGTGAAATATAATTTACTCTAGTCTGGGTAATATAAAATAAATATCTAAAATATAAAAATATTTTATATAATAACCTGAGAGGGTTAACTACTGATATATATCTATCAATCGTGACTCCCAGCAAGCTTAACAATGATGCCACATTCATGGTTGTAGGGAAGGTTCCGAATAAAAGGCATCTAATGTAAATTTATGATGAATAATAATATATGAAATTTCTATATTTGAAAAATAATAAGTATATATTCATTAAAGATTTTCCATGATTTTAAAGTTGTTGAATATCAATCAAATGTTTTAAGTTAAAACATATTCATATCAGCGACCTAGCTAGATTATTTCAGTTTATAGAAGCAGTTAGAGGCTTCTACTTTAAAAAAAATTATGATATATTTTTTCTTTACTCAATGAATAAAAAAAATTTTAAAATTAATTTTAAAAAATAGAAGTAAAAAAATTGAAACTAACGGCCAGCCAAATTTTTAAAGAGGCTTGAGCCCCCCGGCACCCTCCACAACGCCATTGCCTAACGTATAAAAAAGATATAGTGAAAATTTAACATATTACTTTCTATCCCCTTCTACCTCATCATAACCCCAGTCAAAATTATAAAAATTATATCTCCCCCCACTCTCAATTTCAATGATGATCTTGGGTCATACCTCCCCCTATTTTTGATAATAGAAGTGATTGAAAATACCCCCAAAACTGGACATAAATTATTATGTAATCTATTTCAATCGAGACCTGCAGGTCCCAGAACCGTAATTTAATTTTTTAAATATACCCGGGCCGGGCCTAAATTTTTTTTAAATACTCAGGTAGGGTTGTATTTTTTAAAACCATATATTTAAAATGGCCATTATTAAGATTACAAATAAATAATATAAATTTTAAAAAAATTCGGGCCTGGCCGTGTTGTACAAATCTGCAGGTCTCTAACAATATTATGAATACTTTTTTTTATGTATAATGGAATGGTATAATTGGTTTTTATAAAAATATCGATTACAATACTTTTTTGATGAATCATTCACTTTTATACTTGATATATTGATTATAAAATTTTTCAAATTTTTGTTAATTTTGATTTTGAGATTAAAATTTTATTTATAATAATATTTTAAGATGCCAATTTTCTAAGCATTATTTATTTTTTTGGAAAAAAACGAATATTTTAACAAGTATTATATCTAAAAAATGAATTTTAAGAACTAGACTAATGGATAATAAGATCTTATTTTAGCAGCGATTGTTAAAAACATCAAACTCTACCTTTAAGTTTTCCTGCTTTACCCCAAACTAATTGAATATACATATTATTTTTGTGTATAATAGACCTAGAATATATATCCGGTATGGGAGTAAAAATCCCCCCCTCATCTTGCACAAACAAAATATCACCGCGGGGCTGTCCGGTCACTGACCTAATATGGTGTTTTATTTCAAAAAATCATTCTCCTGAAAATTTGGCACATGAGATAAATAATCAAGTGAATAAATAAATGTGCTCTATTTCGACCTTGCCTTAACCAACACCTACTATAGGGAAAAAGACAATCATTTTATAACATACGAAAGTGGTACAAAGAAAACACAGATAGATTACATACTAATCTCTCGCAGAAGATTAAAAAATGTAATAGACTGCAAAGTCATCCCAGGAGAGATATCGCCGCACAACACAAGCTACTAGTCATGGATTTACACATCTCAAATAAATCCACTCAAAACAAGATAAAACTGGAACCATGCATCAAATGGGGCAAATTAAAAACAATGACAGATGCCTTTGCAATCAATGCAAACATTGAAACAATAGATTCCTCACAAGTCAGTGAAAAAATGTGGACAGACCTTTCATCCAGATTAATAGACACTGCCAAATCGACACTAGGCTTGACAAGAGGGGGCAACAAATCATATAAAGAACTATGGTGGTGGAATGAAGAGGTACAAACCACTATACAGGAGAAAAAAGCCCTATATAAAATATGGTTCAAATCCAAAAACTCAGATGACAAGACAAATTACAAAAAATCCAAGAGAATAGCTACAAAGGCGATGGCTTGGGCCAAATCTATGGCATATGACATGTATGAAGAACTACATACCAAAGAATGGCAAAATAAAATATACAGATTAGCCAAACAGCGAGAAAAGAACTCTAGGGATATAAACGGAGCTCCGAAAGTAATCAAAAATAAAGATGGGAAATTGATAATAAAAAGAAATAATGAATAGATAAAAAGAATATTTTCAGGAGTTTCTCAACTTTAATCCTCACATACTACATCTAGACGAACACTCACCATGTCAAAACCTTGTACAACCAATAGAACAAGAAATAATCACATGCCTCAAGTATATGAAAAACAACAAAGCTAGGGGTCCAGACGATATTCCAATAGAAAGCCTTAAAGCACTAGGAGATGATGGAATACATCTCCTCACAAATCTGTACAATAAAATACTTGGAAATGAAGAGGTTCCCCAAAAATGGAGGCAGAGCTATCTAGTTCCTATCTACAAAAATAAAGGGGATCCATACAATTGTCAAAATTACATGGGTATAAAACTAATGTCACACTGTCTAAAACTATACGAAAAAATAATAGAAAAAAGATTAAGAGACATAATCGAAATAGGAGGGACTCAGTTTGGCTTTATGCCTGGAGGATCAACAACTGATGCTATCCAAGCAATTAGGCAAATGAGTGAAAAATACAGGAAAAAGAACAAAAAGCTATACATGGTCTTTCTCGATCTAGAAAAGGCCTTCGATAGAATCCCAAGAAAACTTATCTGCTGGGCGCTACGCCACAAAAAGGTTCCCGAAAAATATATAAGAATAATACATGATATGTATATGGGCCATACAAAAATGGTCCGTAGCACAACAGGTACTTCAGCAGGCTTCACAATAGCCGAAGGAGTTCATCAAGGGTCGGCTCTCAGCCCACTTCTCTTTATTACAGTAATAGATGTATTAGCACAGTCTATACCTCAAACAGTCCCGTGGAATATGATATTTGCAGATGATATTGTGATCAGGGTTGGCATGTCGGTCAATTGACCGGAGGAGTATTTGACTGGTCAAATACGGTCAAATACTCTAAAATATTAATGGCGAATAAATATTTTGATATAATTAACTAGTATGCATTAAAAGCATGTTTATCAATCTTATTATTTTTTTATTAAAATATAAATATGTAATTTTTCTAAATATAGTAATATTTTTAGTTATTTTTTTGCCTAATCATTGCCGTGTCTCGCTTTCTTTATTTTTTTCAATTCATTTTTCTTAAAAAAAATAAAAATACCCGATTTATTATAATCATAATATAATTTTTTCATTCTTATTTTTTAATAAATTTAAATTTTATTTAATATTTAGCCGAGTATAAATTATATTAATTCTCATTTGTTTTACTTACACTTGCTATATTTGGTTTTTAAAATTAATTTTCATTTTAATTGTTCTGGTCAGATTTACGGAATATTATTCAATTCTGGTAAAAAGTTTATTATATTATATTTATAATATTAAGAAATTATTGGAATAATTGGTCGATAATTATAAAATAGTTAAGATTGATTAACTTTACAATAATCAAAATCATTTTTTGTTAAATTTTAATATATTAGGGATTATGGTCAAACCAAAGCATCATGTTTGGAAACATTTTCAAGAAGTACGCGATGGTAAATCAGTTAAAGCGGTGTGCAAGTTTTGCAAGATGTCCTATATCACCCACGTTGATAGAATGGTCAAACATTTATTAAGCAGCTGTACTATGTGCCCTGTTATAATTAAGGAAAAATTTTATTCAAATTCCAAAATATCAACCTCTACAAAAAATATCACAAATGTAATTTGTAATACTTCTAAGTCTAACTCTAATGAAGAATTGGGTGAAATTAGTGAGAATGATTATCAAATGAACAATATTATGTCTTGTGACTCAGGAGAATTTGATTCCCTTATTTCTAATCAATCTACAAGCAAGGCGATTAAATATAAATCTCAATCTTGTATAACCGGTTTCATAGATAGAATTAATCCCAAAGAAAAAAATGAGCTGGATCAATTGTTTGCAAAGGCTGTATATGCGAGCAATTTACCTTTCCACATCACTGAAAATCCCTACATCCAAGAATTTTTTAAAAAAATACGTCCTATTTACACATTACCCAGGAGAAGGCAGCTGGCTGGATATCTTCTAGACAAAGCGTCAGGTGATATGGAGGTGAGAGTTGCAGATATAATAAAAGCTCCTTACTTATCAATTGTATCAGATGGCTGGAGCAACATTAGAAACGAGAGTATTATTAATTTTATGGTGATGACGCCTGTTCCAGTGTTCTACAAATTTCTAAATACTGAGGAAAATCGCCATACGGCAGATTATATTGCCCAGGAATTTAAAAATGTAATTCATGAATTGAATCCGGTAAAAGTATATTCTTTAGTTACTGATAATGCCGCTAACATGAAAGCAGCGAATTCTAAAATCTGAATCTATTTATAATCATATACAATGTTATGGTTGTGCAGCGCATACATTGCAGTTATTCTTTCACGATTTTGAACGATTGGACGCCTTCAGTGACCATATTTCAATAATTAAAAAAATTGTTAAATTTTTCAAGAATAAACACATACCAGCTGCAGTATTTTCCCGTAATAATAATCTTCATGGCATACCATCTACATTAAGTACAATTAGCCAAACAAGATGGGCATCGTCAATAAAATGTATGGAGCAAATTCAAATATGCAAGAAAGCTCTAAAAGCATCAGTTGTTGAAGAAGCTGTTTGTGATAATTGTCCCATAGAAATTACCAATAATATATTAAACGAAGAATTTTGGACGAAAAATTTAAAATTTTTAGCTATACTCCAACCTTTAGCTACCTCATTGTTGAAAGTGCAAGGGGATAAATGTACTTTGGCCCAAGTAAAAAACGAGATGCTTAATTTGGAAAAACACATAATACAATCATGCCATGATTCTATATTTTCTCCATCTCAAGAAAAAAAAATTAAGGTTATGTTTGAAAAGAGAAAAACTGATATAAATACATGTGCTCACAATGCTGCTTATTTATTGGACCCCCAATATCAAGGGGAGCATCTTACTAATACTGAATTTGATGAAGCATGTAATATAA